TTAAGATTAAAAAGCACATTCCAGCTGGGCGCATTGGCTCACACCTGTAATTCCAACACTTTGGGAGGCCGAGGTAGGTGGATCACCTGAGGTCAGGAGTTCAAGTCCAGCCTGGCCAACATGGCGAAACCCCATCTCTACTAAAAAATACAAAAATTAGCTGGGTGTGGTGGCAGCCGCTTGTAATCCCAGCTATTCGGGAGGCTGAGGCAGGAGAATTGCTTGAACCCAGGAGGTGGAGGCTGCAGTGAGCCGAGATCACACCACTACACTCCAGCCTGAGCAACAGCGCAGGACTCAGCCAAAAAAAAAAACAAAACAAAAAAAACAAACAAAAAAAAAAACACCACTTACTAAATTAATGAAAGCCTATTGTGAACAGGATGTACAACGAGGCTAAGATTCTAGATTTGATGGGCCATCAATCAATGAAATAAGACACACCTGTAAAGTTGGGAGGCTAAAGATTCAATTAATGTGTTCCAACGACAGGAGATCTTGACTAAAAAAAGGAGCGTGCTACTTTATCTCAGAACTCTGTTCTTGAGGACCAAGAATGCATTTTCAATTAGAAAACTGCAATTTGGTTCCACCATACCCTGACTACTACAGTAGTTTCCTCTGTCCTTTCATTTTCCTCTTATTATTGTGTGTAAAGTAATTATATTAGACACAATGTAACTGTATAAAATTAAATGAGTAACTGCAAGATTTCTAGGAGTAACAGGATTCTACATCTTCATATAGTCTTTATGGCATATTGTATATGCCATAGTTATAATGCATAAAAGTGTATTGGATTTTTTAACCAAATGGCCAATGGTTTCTTTTGATCCACACCAGATGAAGACAGGATGGGGGAGAAAATATGGTTCTGTGAAAAGACTCCCTTCTTCATTAGTGGCATGCTCATTCAGGTCTTATCTTTATATTCTAGTAAGTTATTTTGCTCTGTTTTAACCCCCCACACCCCACCAAAAAAAACCCCACACACAACACAAAACAACATAAAAGTTTTTGCATATCTCCTTCAGTTGAAGAATTGTAATGTGTTTCATTTATTATTGTAAAGCCAAGCACTTTTTTTTTTAGATGGAGTTTTGTTCTTGTCAAGGCTGGAGTACAATGGCACAATCTTGGCCCACTGCAACCTCCCCCTGCCTGATTCAAGGGATTCTCCTGCCTCTGCCTCTCAAGAAGCTGGGATTACAGGCATGTACCACTACGCCCTGCTTATTTTTGTATTTTCAGTAGAGATGGGGTTTTGTCATGTTGGTTAGGCTGGTTTCAAACTCCTGGCTTTAGGTGACCCGCCAGTCTCGTCTTCCCAAAGTGCTGGGATTACAGGCATGAGCCACCATGCCCGGCCCCAAGTAAATCTTAAATATTCATAACGTAATGATCATGTTACTGCCAGACTGACAACTATGTTATCCCTAAATCAGCCACTCACTGGTGAGATCCATTCTGGCCCCACATGTGCTCTGTCCAAGAAACACAGATAATATCCATAGCTGCTCAGCAGTTAATTTATGGCAAGTTATAGCTGGGGTCGGGTTCCTGCAGTTTTCCAAAAGAAAAGTGTATGCTGACTACATCTTCTATCTGCTGAGCACCCTTGCTCATCCTCACTATGGTCCTTGTAACTACACCACTGGCGGGGAAGGTTGATGCATCAAATAATATATGAACAGTAACATTAAGGTTCAAATGGTATAATCCTTCCACTCTCTTCCCTCCCCACATCCTACCCAAAATATGTTAGTTCACTCCATCTCCTTCCCCTTGTGGTAATATTTTAAAATGATCCAATAGGATACAGCTTGTGTGCTTGTTTGGCACAGAACTAGTACCCATTTTGTGAAGTGGCAGCTAAGAAAACTCTGGTTGACAGAAAGCCCAAGGAAGGAGGCAAGATTGAGAACAACTATCATATTAATTTGAAGGATGCAGGGGAGGATGAGTCTGTGATGCAGTTTAAGATTAAAAGGCATATTCCAGCCAGGTGTAGTGGCTCACACCTGTAATCCCAGCACTTTGGGAGGCCAAGGTGGGCCGATAACCTGAGGTCAGGAGTTTGAGATCAGCCTAGTCAACATGGTGAAACCCCATCTCTACTAAAAAATACAAAAATTAGCCAGGTGTGGTGGCAGGTGCCTGTAATCCTAGCTACTTGGGCAGCTGAGACAGGAGAATCATTTGAACCCAGGAGGCAGAGGCTACAGTGAGCCAAAATCCAGCCACTGCACTCCAGCCTGAGCAACAGAATGAGACTCCGTCTCAAAGAAAAAAAGAAGACATATACCACTTAGTAAACTAATGAAAGCTTATTGTGAACAGGGTTTGGCAATGAGGCTGATGAGTTTCTAGATTTAATGGGCAATGAATCAATGAAATAGACACACCTGTAAAGTTGGAGATGGAGGCTAAAGATACCATGTGTTCCAAGGACAGGACATCTTGACTAAAAAAGGAGTCTGCTACTTTATGCCACCCAAGGGCAATTTTGTAACTCTTTTGTACACAGCTGTTACATGTAAGGCAATCTTTCAGCAGTGATACATTATTCTTAAAAAATCCTAGTTTTCAAGTCAAATGTCTTGTTTAAATAAACTTATTTAAAATGAAAATAAATTGATTTAGTAAACTGTGACTCTAGGCATCTCAATTTGATCTCAGCCTGTTGAAGTCAGCCATCTGAGTTCCTCGACCCTCTGGGACGGCCTGCCTCATAATGTACTTAGAAGCTACCATTGCATCAAGGTAAATTCTCACCCCAGTAAGTGTTTTACAAGTAATATATTATCAAATTCGCACAACCTTATGAGGAAGGGATTATTGTTCTTATCCTGTAGATGAGAAAGCTGAGTCTCAGAGAAGTGGCCCAAGGTAGCATAGCTAATAAGTGAGGGAACATGATGCCCGAAACACAATTATTGTTTGATGACTTTAAATGAATCTGATTATTTGCCACGTGGCCTTTAGTAAATCGAGACTCAATGGCCTCGAAGAATTTATGTGCCTATTAAAGTTCACAGACGAAAAAGTTTCACTCAGCATTAGACCCCTAGAGAGTCTTTCTTAAAGCAAAGACTATCTCCACTCTATTGGCAGGTTTGAGAAAGAGCTTTCAGCATTTTCAACGCTTAAAGTGAGACCTTGATCCCATTTACCATCCAGCCAGACACAAATCAGGTGCAAGCTGTTTGGATCATAACAAGATCCGGTCAGTCTTTCAGCTTCAAGCTACTTCAACAAATCTCTCTTCCACTTTACTTTTGTTAGACTAAACTATTTTCTCTCTTCCTGTGGTAGTTTTCTTTAGCTAGTTCCTCTGCGAGAAGGGCATTACTAAGTGAACCCAAGTATTGCCACCACCAGTAGTCACTGTCGGCTGCCATGACGTGACGCAGAGGACTGTCATGGCCGGGGACCCTGGAGGCTACGACTTCGGAGCGGGATCACCTGAACGGCCTGACTCGGTTCCTCACCCGCACTGCGAGGAGAGTCGCTGGATCTACCCGGGGATTCAACTAGTTCATTTCCACATGGTGAATTCCCTCACCTTCTACAGTGCCCGGCCCTCAGAAAGATTAGTATCCATCAATATCACTAAAAAGTTTGTTGAAACAATTGAACAGAGGTTTCAAAATATTTTCCTGACGTTAGTAACGTGCCCCTCTCCCTCGCCCGCATTCACACGCGCATACACTTTACCGCCCGCCACTTTCCCTTTTCAGTTGCTTACACACGAAACCAGGCAGCCCTTTCCCTCACGAAGCGTCCGGCGGTGTGGCTGCCCGGTCCCGGCGCTTCTCACAGGAACAGTGCGTTCCCTTCGCCTCCCGCAGTCTCTCAGGACAGGCCGGGCTAACGCAAAGTACATGTTCTTGAGGCACCACGAGGGCGAGCTGGGGAATCTGGAGCTGGCCTGCAGGACGCCTCCCGCACCAGGGGACTGGAGCCCGAGTAGGCCGAGGCGAGGTGGGGTCGGGGGGGTGGGCCGCGGGCCGACTCCCTCACGGCGCCGGCGGGAAGGCGATGCGGAGTTGGCCCGGGTCGCGCTCCTCAGGGGTGGGCGCTTGGAGAGGGCGAGCGCAGGAGGCGGGGCCCGGAGGCGCCTGAGGAATCCCTCAGTGGGCAGGCGGGAGGCGGGGCCGATGCGGTGAGGTGGGGCTAGCTGAAGTAGGCGGGGCCGTACAGAGGAGTGGGAGTCGCGCAGTGGAAAAGCGGGCGAGTGACTCGGCGGTGCAGTAGGGTAAGGCGGCACCGGCAGAGGCAGAGAGATTTCCTTAGGCCGTAGGCGGGGTAAGCGGGGCTGGCCGAGGTGGGCGGAGCTTCGAGGCGGGGGAGGCGGGGCCGCCGAGGCAGGGAGAATCCCTTTGGCCGCAGGAGGGGAGGCAGGGCTGGCTGAGGTAGGCGGAGCCCCGAGACGAGGGAGCGGGGGCCGGCCGAAGCGGGGAGAATCCCTTAGGTCGCAGGCGGGGAGGTAGGGCCAGCCGAGGCGGGGAAGTGGGGCTGGCAGAGGTAGCCGGAGCCCCGAGGCGGGCGGGGAAAATCCTTTAGGTCGCAGGCGGGGAGGCAGGGGGCCGGCTGAGGCGGGGAGAATCCTTTAGGCCTCAGGCGGGGAGGCTGGGCTGGCGGAGGTAGGCGGAGCTCCAAGGCAGGGAAGGCGGGGCCGGCCGAGGCGGGGAGAATCCCTTTGGCCGCAGACGGGAGGCGAGGCTGGCTGAGGTAGGCGGAGTCCCGAGGCGGGGGAGGCGGGGCCGGGTCGGCGCAGGGAGAGTCCCTCAATGGGCAGGCGAGAAAGCAGGGCCGGGGCGGGGCCGACCCGGTCCCTAGAGCTGGGGGTGGGCAGACCCAGCGGACAAGCTGGCCACCTGGGTCGTGTCGTAGTTGGAGGTGGCCTGCGGAGCTCAGTTCCCTCAGCGCCTGTAGCTTCGGCAGAGTCTGCGCAATGGGCGACTCGGAAAGGCCGGAAGCGGCCCGGCTGGATCAGGATGAGGTAAATATCGCTGTCGTTTCATCCCCCGCTCCGCAGTCACGCCCGCCCGTTAGACTGCAAGTTGCAGACCGCTGTAGGAAATGTTATTCGCCGCGGTCAGAACAGGCCTCTCCACCAGCCGTCGCCGCAGCCTGGCTTCGTCGTTGCGAGCGCCAGGGAGACTGTGCCTGGGGAGGGCGGAGGAAGGAGCCCACTTTGGGTTTGCGTCCCGCTCCGCTGCTCTGCCCCAGAGCCAGCCAAGGACGACGCTCGGAGGCCTCAGGCTGGGGCGAGGCTTGCCCCTGCGTTTATCCGCTTCACGCTCTCCCACCCTCCTTCCCTGTTTTGGAGCCCTGGCCAGGGAAACTGAGGCAAGGAAAGACGACTGGCGGCCGTGCTGGAGAGATGCATACCGTTTGAGATGGTGACAAGGAGTTGGAGAACGCGTGTGGAAATTGACACAGGTGGATGGGGTGAAGATGAAGGGCAGAAGGGGACACGAAATCCTCATGACCTCCTCCCAGTGAAAAAATCGGGGTAGGAGGCCAGTTTTGCTCTGGCCCGGCTCCTTAAGTAACTGAATCTTTGGGGTGTCACTTTCTTCCTTTATACAGTGGAAGTGATACTTCACAGAGGATTAAATAAAATGCTTTATGCAAAGTGCCACGACAGTTGTAGGTGCTTAGTAAGCCCAAGTTGTTCGTCCTCTCCACAGATCTTATGCTGATAAAAGTACCTAAAGTAAATAAACCAGGATTTGTTAGACTGTAGGATTGTATGGTAGTTTAAACTGTTGCTGTATAATTTTCAAATACTGTCATTTTGGAAATACTTCTAAGCCGTTTGTGAACAAGAGAAGTGCTTTTTATACTACTGAAACCGGTTTCTGCGTGTGCTATCTTTGATTTAATACTGTGAAGATTTGGAGGAAACAAACGTTTCCACCCCAAGAGAGTCATGCTTGGCCCTACATTTCTTTAGAAAGTTGTAGATTCCAGGTTTGGGATTTTTATTTTATTTGGCTTGATTTTTGTAAGCATTTAGTAACTAATTAAACTGTAAATATCCCTCAAGCTTTTTCTTCCTGTTTTGAAATAAATGCATTTATTATCAACTTCCCCACTCAAAGGGAAAAATTGAGACTGCTGTTTGTGCTAATGGCACCAGCAGTGATTCAGCCTTAACACCTAGAAGTTAAGTGTGAGTTATTACTTGTATCTCGGTGATACAGACCCAGACAGACAGAATTTTAGATTCAGAGTGAATTTTAGTGGGCAGCTGATCCAAAAGTTTTTAACTTGAGATGCTAGGATGCCTTAAGCACTTTGTTTTTCTAGATGCCAGAGTGCATAATAGGAGGCCTGCATCAAGTCACTTGGAGTATTTTGTGAAAAACGTAAATTGCTGGACCCACACCCCAAACATAGTGAATCAAAATCTCTTGAGATCTGCATTTTTAACAAGTACTTCACGTGATCCTGGTATACATATTAAAACGAACAAACAAAACCCTACTGTATTAAAGTGTCCATAGATAGGCTAGACGTGGCTTTATAAATCTCCTGAAGTGGTGTGTAGATTTTAGATGTGCAGATGTGAATCTTCTGAGAACGGGCACCATGGTTTTTGTCAGTTTCTCAGAGTTAACTATTGCTAATCTAATTTGTAGTCTATTTTCAAGATAAAGTTTAGGCCAAAAAAACACTAAATGGCATGCCCAGGATTCAGTAGAGGAGCTAAATTTAAAACCAAGTTCTTGCACCTGGGCCGGCATCCCATTTGTTTTGTCAGATTTTGTGAGAATGGAATAATGAAAATGATGCTTAGAAATAGCATATGACTATGACAACATGCAGATATTTTACAGAAGTAGAAGAGACATAAAGGCAAAGACACAGAAGTGGTGGAATTGGGGCTGAATGAGAGGTAAGAGCCATGTATGATGCCGGTTTAGATTGGGACATCGTAAGTGCTTGCTGGGGAATCTTGACCTAAATTTTCCTGACATGCCCAGGCATGTCTTCCAACTAGGTGACCAGAAATTGAGTCAGTCAGAAACTGGAAGTACCATTCTGGAAAATACAGTAGAATGTCCCTAAGGAATGCCTTCTGCTAAACTTTATTTCAAATTCTATCACTTTACACCTGTGCACCTGCAATAATTTGGTTGTTTCTCTATCTCCTATCTTACCTGCCATTTAATCCTAACTACTGTTGCCAAGTTAATCCTTTATTGGACCAGTGCCTCTGTGTCACTGACCCTGGCCCCCAAAAAAACTCCCCAAAGGGCCTCGATTCCTACAAAAAAGCCTGGCAGTTGCCTCAGGCTGGCAAAGTCTTGTTGAAGCTGCTTTTTTTTCATGCTAACTGCCACATCTTAATTCAGATTCTCATTTCCATCTTTGAAATTGGTTCCTTAGTTGCAAGGAAAATCTAGATATTTATCGAATTAATCCTATACATGGGTTTCTGATGAGTCTTCCTAATGCCACCACTATTCATGTTAATTCCCATTCAGAAACTCTCCATGACTATCTGTACCCCCAAATCTGTGGGGTACAGATTTTCAAACTGTACCCTGCAATGAATGCCAGCACCTGGGGTTGGGGGTAAATGGGGAGAATTGGAGTATGAGCCTTCCAGACCTCCAGTGTTTGAAAATCTTTGGCCACAAAATTAATTCCTGACTTCTTAGTCTGTTTTGTCTTAAGAGTCTGGATCCTTTGCTTTAGCCAGATCACATTATTCCTACTTTTGCTTTTCCTTGTCCTGCATCCATTTCAGTTGGCTCCTCTTCTTTCATCTGCCCTTTAAATACCGGCATTCTCTAAGGCTGGATCCTCAGTTGTCTTGCTGCTCTATATGTTCTCCCTGAATAATCACATCCATTCCCTTGGCAACCACTAATGGGAGCTCCATCACTCCTGTGCTATAGTGTTTATGTGTGTGTATATATATATATATATATATTTTTTTTTTTTTTTTTTTGA